AATAGATTAAAAAGCCATTTCAGAGTCAAGAGAATGTGCCTTGGCCTATGAAGACAATGAATAAGGTGACAGAATTATTCTTTTTCCTTCAGCTTTATTAGCATGTAATGGAATGACTGACTGGTTGATATTTACATTAAGAGAAAGTCCTAATTGTCCACATATGAGATACTCTGTTTGACCCATTGCATACGCATTCATAAATGGGTATAAAAATCACATGTCCGGGGAGCCTCTCTCTAGCCCCGTGTAACTCATGCAAAAGACTCATTTCTTCTCATTTGGCTGCATTTCAAATGGCGGTTTATACCTTTTTGACATTATCGCCCGCCCCTAAGTGGACCCTGTGCTCCAGCCAGCCTTGATTACTTGTACCCACAGTATCTGCGAGTGGCCTAGATTTTGCTGAAGACTTTTAGGGGCAGAAGCTGAGGATTTAGCACCACGCTCTCCAGAGCACAGTCACGCGAAGCCTCTTTGCACCACCTTGCCCTCCACAGTCGGCCCATTCTTCCTGCATGTGAGGTGAACGTTGACCTCCGTCTTCCCAGGTCCCCATCTTCTGTAAATCTCTTGACCCCTGAGGCTGGGAGCAACTTTGCAAAACAAGGGGCAATCCTAGAATAGTAAGGGGCCATCCATAATAGAATATCACGGGAAATTATAAATACCAATTATAAGTAATAATGGGGAGTTCTATAAATAACGGATAAAATGTTTTTTTTTTTTTTTTCCGATTTCAATTTTATCTTTATAAGTATTTGCTGCCTTAGGGAAAAAACAGTACAATATTGATCCCTTCTTTGAGCTTGGGAAAAAAGGATACAAACAAAGTATCTCCTGGACCTCCAGATACTCTCTGACCCCTCTTCCCTCTCCCAGTCTCCTTTCCTAAGGGCTTGGGTGGGACTTTCCTCTGAAGTCCTTTTTGGGGACACTGATTCTTGGCTGGGTATGGCACAAGCCTCAAGGTATCCCCGGCTGGTTGGATGGAGGCTCTGCACCTGTCCTTGATTCCAACAAGGACATTAGCACTAAAGTGACTGGAAAAGAGTTTGCCGCCTGGGCTTAAGGCCACACGTCTCTCATACTGTGTATCTATCCCCCCATCAGGTAACAGGTGTCCTTCTTAGAGGGTTTGCTCTCTTTTTGTAGGAGCGCCACTGAGGTTTTGTGGGTTGGTTTGTTTGTTTTCCTCTCCTGGATATGAAATACAGCACCTCTCTGGCCTCTTCCGAATTTCTGATCCTGATTCCTGAGAAATCAGGAAAGATTTCCTTCTCTGGCACAGACTGCCACAGATTGTGCATATTTGCTATACTCTCAAAATAATAGGGGTGTCCCCTCCCTTACAGAGTCCACACTTGTTTTTCCTTCTTAAATCCATCACACGAGAATTAAAGTCTGTTTCCTGCCCTGTGGTCATGCCACATTCTATACCAGAAGGAAAGTAGTTGGTATAGTCTCTAACTAGCACTCCGGGCCTAGGGTGGAGAGCCATGTGCCCAAGTGAAGGAACCCCACTTACTGCGTTCCCTGGGATTCCGTCTTTTGAGAATTCAACGTTTGGTTGGGGAAGCTGAGTGTTATACCTCTATTCACTTTACTTCCCCAGTTCCTAAATGGGAATGTGACACAATCCCAAATGATTTTTTTTTTTAAGTTTATTTATTTTTGAGACAGAGACAGAGCACGAACGGGGGAGGGTCAGAGAGAAGGAGACACAGAATCCGAAACAGGCTCCAGGCTCCGAGCTGTCAGCACAGAGCCCGACGCGGGGCTCGAACTCACGGACTGCGAGTTCGTGATCTGAGCCGAAGTCGGCTGCCTAACCAACTGAGCCATCCAGACGCCCCAAATGATTTTTTTTTATAGCAGCTAGGGTCCCTTTCCTCTTTCTTCGCCCAAATTCAGCTTCACTGACAGCAAAACTCATGGAAGTCCCTGTTGCTCTCTGATGAAGTCTGATTTCTCTGAATAGGCTTCACTGGAAATGACTCTCTCAGCAAGTTGTTTCAAGCGGGTCTGATTTTGCACACTACGCTCCATGATACCTTGTCACATGACACGATGGAAAGAGGTCTCTGTATCTTCCAGCTAACGTGTGGTCAGAAAGCAACCTGGCATGTTGGGGTAGGAAGTTCTCATTACCTGAGCTGTGACTCTTGGGACTTGGCCAGGCATTCTGTCTCTGGGCTGCATCTGAGGCTTTGGGACCACATACGATTCCCAGGGCTGGACAGCGCCTCATTGATTTTCCTGGCTTTTCCATACCAGAAGCCTGCCATCCCTCTGATGTTTCAGCAGCCTGTCTAAACACGGTGCACAGTCCTCTTCTCCCATTTCTGAAAGTATGTCTGCAGTTGAACTGGACCAGAGTTTCCTATCTCTGGCTGAGAACCACCCCCAGAGTACATTCCCACTCTCACGGGAGTCCTGTTTTAGCTGCTGAAGCTGGCAGGTCTGAAATAGTCCCTAGTATGTTGATAAGGATCTTCTTTGTCTTCCAGACTTTTTAGGGAGTCACATGCCCAGACTGGCTGCGTTGGACAGCGGTTTCTTACCTGCTCTTTCCCACAGGGAGTCTCTTGGCCTCATTCACCCCACTAATCTCACTTAAAGCTCTGAGGGCCTGTCTTTCCAGGCTGGACGTCTCTTCTCGGACGGAGCATGCCGCCACTTGATCTCAGAAGAGTTGCCATAGTCTCTTATCTGATTATGAGACAGTAGTCCCGTGTCACCTAGCATTAGATAACTACAGAGAGGCGAGGTACTCGCGACTCACCTTAAGGATGGTTGTTCAGTAAGAGCTGCAACCGGGCACCTTTCGAACCTTCGTTCAGAGAACTGACTTTTCAAAAAATAACCTCATGCATAATCGCAGTCTGAAGCTTAACCGGCTTAAGGAAGAAACGGAAAGTGTTTGTTTAACATGCCCCCTTTTTAATGATAAAAAACAGCAACCTCCAATCCTTTCAGTCCTAAAGAAATTAAAATTGCTGATTAATAAAACAAATGCAGACATGGGTTTCTCCACCAGTATGACAGCTACATTCCTGATAATTTTTACCTTTCATCTAAACGTGTAAAAACCACACGACACAGGTCATTTCATTTTTATTTACCAGACTGAAATCTAACCTTGAATTTTCCACACTCAAGCTTGAAAGGAAATGTAGGCAGTTTAGCAAATTGGAGTTTTGAGCGAATTCTTCATATAAGTGATCTAATGTCACATGAGGATTAGGCTTTTCAGCTGTTTTTTTTTTTTTCTTTATGTATGTGTTTTCTTTGAAAACAAGAACACTTACTGATGCCCTTGTAAGAGATGCAATACTGAGGTCCTTTATAGTTTTCCAGGTTCACATTTTAGTAAACTGGTTACTCATTACATTTACATTGCTGTTTCTGTCATGTGTCTTTTTTCACTTGTACAATATCACCTTCTCCAGTTTATTTCCAAGTATGCTGGTAAACTCTACGAATAGAACATTCCACCTGGCAGGGAAAATGCTTTAGAAGCCAAGTTACCTAATTTTGTGTTCTTAAAAAAAAAAAAAAAAAAAAATTAGCAGTGAAACAAATTGTATTACATCATCTTAGGAAGCATTCTATCTATTTTAAAAATATTGTTTCTATAGTTTCTGACCTAACATTTTTGTCAGTATTCTATTTTATTAACTCTCAAGAGGAAGAACCAGTAACTTGTGGAAATAGCATAAAATAAAATTAAAGCTATTAAATTCCCAAGTTGTTTGGGAGAAAATTAGATTTAATGTTGATCTAAATGAGACTGAACATTCTGTGGATAAAGTTCCACCAGAAAGAAATTGGCAAATTGATGGGGGAAAAAAGACTTTGCTATGGACATTGCTATCCGTTGTTTTTGTGCTGGTCCGGGCGGGGTGAAGGGGGATGTTGTGTGTTAGAATTTCAAAGCATCATTAATTTCCATAGCCGCTGTAAAGTATGAGTCAGTTTACATTTGAAAGCACTAAATATTTTTTATAGCTGCTTATACTAAATTGTTGATTTGATCAGATGGTAGAAATAAAAATAATGTAATCAATTTTCTTTCTCACATGTGATTTTTTAAAATTTAATTTCAGTTAATACTGTTGGTATAACCCAGTAACCAAATACAGGGTAGGGTGTTCCGAACCTGAATTTACAGTATGTGTTTTAGGGCTAGGAGCTGAGCGATAGAGATCCTTGAATATGAAGTTATCAAGAGCGCATCTCATTTATTATTGGCACCTGCTACTTAATTAAGGTGTTCTGATTGCTCATGGTATGCTAAGATTACATGGAATCAGACTGTTTCTGTCCCTTTTCTTTGTCGACTCTGAATTATTTTCTCTTCTGTGTTCCATTTCTGCTGTCATTTCTAACAGCTCTGCCTGACCACCACTTCCTAAAATATAATGTAGGGACCATGATTACATTTTAGTGTTTATTCATACTAATGACCCTCCACGTCCAAATTTTAATACAGGGTTAAGAGAGGAATGGATAGATTTAGTAGCTTTTGAACACGAATGAGGGTGTCTTTGTACATTTGCATTAAAATACTAATGCATGTTAAACACAAGATCTGCAGTGTAATTTTTCTTTGATGACAAAATAGAGCAAATATTAAATACTGTTTAGAGAGTGGTGACTACTCCACCTCTCGAAATCTGAAAGTCAAGACTGTTTCCTCATAGCTAGAAACTAGAGTCCACTGGGGTTCCTCCTTTTCAGGCCTCCATTCTGATTATAATTACAGAATGTTCAAAAAAGGTTTACTTTTGTGATCAGACTTATTATTAGTGTGCATATTTTTATTTTATTCTCTGGGGGTGGCGGGAAGATGGGGGAAGTACACATTTAATTGAGAGCTATTCATTAGCCACCATTGAAGGAGAAATTGAACTTTAAAGAATCTATCAAAAATTCTCTGGTGAGCCGTTTATTACTGTCTTGTCTTGAGCCCTTTTTTTAATGACATCTATTATCAGATTGAAATGGCGATTGAGACGCTGCAAAAGTCTGACGGTCTGTCCACTCACAGAAGCTCTCTTCTCAACAGCCATGTAAGTTGCCTCTTCTTCACGTAAACTAATCTCTTGCTTGTTCCGCATGTGTTGCTTGCTTCTAAATGCTTGTTTTATTTATTTACTTATTTATTTTGCTTCTTAACCTTCCTTTCTCAGCCCCTTATGATCTCTGTATCACTTAATGGCTCTTTTGTATAGTGGGATATCTAAAAATAATAGAGCCCCCAATATACTGCTTTACTAGGCTTTTGTACTGTTCTGGTACAGATATAACATTTCCAAGTTAATAACAAGCTGCCATTTACCTGTGGAAATTAATTAATGGGGATTTTAAGTATTTAAAGTGTTCTAGTTTGATATTAATTTACCTCAAAGCAAAGGATTGTAATCCGCATCTTCTGGTCTGAAGCAAAGAAACAGTCGTGTCTACTTGTAAGACCAGTAACATTCTTTAAGTGAAAAAAGATTATTAATGCCAAACCCAGTAGTAAACTGTCTGAAAATTATTTATTTACTGGTAAGGCCGTATAAGGTGGGAGGAAACAGGGACCTAGATGAGCTCAGGTCTGCGACCTACAGAGAAAAGTGAGACTCTAGATAAGCCATACATTTCTAATAATTGATATTAAACAGGATTATTGTTGCTATGCCTTGAAGCCTTTGTTATCAGATGCAGCCATCACTTTAACACTGGTAAGTCTGACAAGAGCAATGACAGTTTTGTGAAACTGTAAAACTGGGGGAACCGATGGAAATGTCGAATAAAAATTAATTTTGTTTTCGTATTTCTGAATATACAGGGCAAAGTGAAGAGACCTATGACTTCCATCTGTTTTAGACAAATCTGTTAAATTAATATCAATGTACAATAGTACAGTAAGAGAGTCTTCCCTCCCATCTGACAACGTATTCTTAAATTTACAGATAAGTTGTTAGGATTTTTAAATTCTTCCCCGTATTTTGTGACTGAAAAGTCCAAAATTGGATCACCCAATAAATCTGAAAACCTTAACTCACAGAAAATGTTTTCACTATGCTTTTTAAATCATTGCCTCTCCAAATGTTTAAATTTTTATATTCCAACATGACACTAAGTACTTTCCTTGTGTTTTACACATTTGTTTTTAGATGCCTATTGTGTGTTCTTTCTTTTTCAAGGGGAAGTATCATGGCAAATAAAAACAGGTTAGCCAATTTGGAGAATGCCTGCAATTTTGGTAAAAATTTTAGGTTGTAAATTTCAAAATAATATATACTTTGGCCTTTCTTTTTGAAACCATTTAAGGAATGTGATTTTTCCCCCGCCTGAAAATTTGTGTGCAATATGTCACTCTTCTATGTGTTTCATAAGTATATCCCTGCTGTGTTAGCATGACTCTATAGTTGTGTATAAAGGCTGATGTACTGTGTGTTAGTAGGATGTATGTTTTTGGGAGGTGGGTAATGACTAACTGGTGTTTGTGTTTTGAAAATGGCAATTAAAAATACTGTTCACTTTTAGTCAAAAATGTACAGGGACATAAGAAGAAGAAGAAAAAAACACCTGAAGTTTTTTGAACTGTCAGGCTTCTAAGAAGCTGTGTTTTGTTATTCAGTTCATACCTCGTTTTCACTTGAATTGTATAGTTTAGTAAAATATGTGATATTTAATTTTTACCTAAATTACCTCTATTTATTAATTAGTGTTTCATGACCAGTAACATAGGTATAAAAACGTGGGGGGTCTTTGGTACATTTTTATTTTTTGATTTGTTTGAAACTTTTCAGATGTGTTGGGGTTCTTTGAAATTACCATTCTCTTGTAACTCATGAAATGATATTTAATGATCGGGCGCCTGGGTGGCTCGGCCGGTTAAGCGTCTGAGTTCGGCTCAGGTCATGATCTCACAGCTTGTGAGTTCGAGCCCCTCATCAGGCTCTAACTCCCGGAGACATTTCAGGATATACAGTGGGCTTAAATGTTGCTAATGCAGTGATAATCTTTCACTAGATGTCCTGATTCATTTTTATTACACGTCTGAGGTAGTTAAATTCGTCTAAAGCACATATATAGTCAAGTCTTTTGAAACACAGATGATCCTGCAGATGGCATAGAAACAGTAAAGAAAGGACCACGTTTCTGCTGACCAGTCAGGTTTCTCCCTGAACACGTAACAGGACCCTGTTGTTTCTCTGTCCTTGGAAATCTAGTGATGCTCCTAATTTTTGTTAGATTGATCCAAAAGCTGAAATAAGCTACTGCATGTGTTCTAGCTGATCACCACCTGCTAAGGGCATTTTAAATTCTGTTAAGTTAATTTGTGGTGTTCAGTTGCAAAGAAGAATTTTAGTGGAAACGATTCTTTTATTTTTATTTTTTCTTAATTTACATCCAAGTAAGTTTGCATACCGTGCAACAATGATTCCGGGAGTAGATTCCTTAGTGCCTCTTACCCCTTTAGCCCATCCCCCCTCCACCACCCCCTCCAGTAACCCTCTGTTTGTTCTCCATATTTAAGAGTCTCTTATGGTTTTGTCCCCCTCCCTGTTTTTGTATTATTTTTGCTTCCCTTCCCTTATGTGCACCTGTTTTGTATCTTAAAGTCCTCATATGAGTGAAGGCATATGATATTTGTCTTTCTCTGACTGACGAATTTTGCTTAACATAATACCCTCCGGTTCCATCCACGTAGTTGCAAATGGCAAGATTTCATTCTTTTTGATTGCCGAGTAATAGTCCATCGTATATATAGACCACATCTTCTTTATCCATTCATCCATCGATGGACATTTGGGCCCTTTCTATACTTGGGCTATTGTCGATAGTGCTGCTATAAACATTGGGGTGCACGTGCCCCTTTGAAACAGCACACCTGTATCCTTCAGATAAATACCTAGTAGTGCAGTTGCTGGGTCGTAGGGTAGTTGTATTTTTAATTTTTTGAGGAACCTCCATAATGTTTCCCAGAGTGGCTGCACCAACTTAATGGAAATGTTTCTTAAAAATATGCTGTTCATATTTTAAATGTCAACAAACTATAAGTTTATCCTTTATCCGTCACTGTATAGGACATGATATGGAATTCTTTAAAGTGAACATGAATCCAACTTTGTGATGACATTTCCCGACTTACTGGTTTCTACCGAGGATCAGTTTCATGAGGCAAACAAGTAGGAGAAGGGATCAATAATTTGTGCCCCATATTTACTAGTTTCTTTTTTTTTCAATTTTTTTTAAAGTTTATTTTTGAGAGGGAGACACAGAACATGAGCGGGGGGAGGGGCAGAGAGAGAGGGAGGCACAGAATCCGAAGCATCCTGATTCGGGGCTCAAACTCACAAACTGCGAGATCATGACCTGAGCCGAAGTTAGATGCTTAACCAATTGAGCCACTCAGGTGCCCCTGCTAGTTTCTAAAGAGGCATCTGAATCATGATTTTGGAGCTGAGTGTCTATTCTCATTGTATTTTGGAATATGGAATTGAATGGGTTTCTTATTTTCTCTTTAGACACTTGATGGCTTACAGTAATTCAGAAAATTCTTCTTAGGGTCCAAGCAAATAATCTCCTGTCATTAGAATCCAACTCAATCACTTTGCTTTTAACCTTTCAACACATGAGAAGATGGAGCGGGGTGGAATGGGGTGTTGAATTTTGTGTCTCTTTTTTAGCGTATTCTTAAGAATACTTAGTACTACTGGTCTGTTTTTATCATTATCTTGCTACTATTCTCCAGCTTGAAATGCATGTATAACTTCTCAATTTCATACCCTGTATGGCGCCCCACTTGTAAACTGAGTATGGTTACACCGAGGGCCGTTTTTTTTTCCTATCATTGTCAATATTGACCTATATTGTTAGTATTCACATAATGGCAATTATTTCAGTAGTAACACCACGCAGGCAGATAGTAAATATACATTGATAAGTTAAAGTCCCAAGAGAGTGAGGACTTTATACGTTTTGTTCCCTGACGCATCCCTGGTGCCTAGAACAGTGCCTGATACGTGGGAGAAATTTCCTCAATATTTGTCAAATGGACGAACATAAGAAACAGTAGAAGGGAGCAGACCTGATCTTACCTTCCGTATTCTAAGTACCTTTGCCAGTCATGTGTGCATTTATTTGGGGACTCCCGCATGCATTGTTTTATTATCACGCATGCCTCGGTCGGTTGGTGTATGAACATTGTTGGTAGAAAGTGGCTTTCTCCCTGCATACCACGTGAGTGAAAGAACATATTATCGCTCTATCATTTCCCCAGGGGCAACCTTCAGTGTAAGCGTGGACAACTTTTCCCCCCCTCCAAATAATTTAACCCCGCAAGAAAATACGAGCCAAGGGTGCCCTCATTTATCTCCTTGTCTTTAGAATGGCGCTTGTGATTTAGCTTCATGGAATTCAGTCTGTTGCTATCATAATTTTTATTTAAATATTTCTGTGTCTTAATATTTTGTATGTGAAGATGCTGTGGGGGTAAATGATGTGTATAGTCTGTCTCATGCACCAGAGTGTCACTGCAGACTCAAGGTTTACTTTATCCTCCTTCTCCATTGTAATTAATAGAAATTGGCATCTAGTGATTATTTTGTATCCAATGTGAGATATTTTAGATTGTAAATGTGAGTGCAGAAATGTTCTTAAGTTAATTGTTCCCAGTTCCCACATAACGTTCTAGAACATGTACATTTTTTTAAATTCCATTTAGAGTATATAAAAAGCATTAGGCATTTATTTTACATACTTTTTACAACCTAGTAAATAGTTGTTTTATGATTTTTGCCGGGTTTAGCTACTGAAATGTATTCAGCTCAAAGCAAACCCTAGTTTTATACTCACTTCCCTTCAACTCTGCTGTATTGTAAATATAAGTTATGACAGAAATAAGCCCTGTCAAAATGCATATCATCAGTGAACTGAACTTAAAATGAATCCTAATGGATAATAATCCATCTGGGAAAAAATGCCAAATGTTACATTTAGATGTTAATTGGGGAATGCAATATGTATTTTTTTTTAAATTTGTCAATCAGTATTTCCCTTTGGGAAAAATAGGAACTGTTCATCTTCCTTAATCTACCCTGATTAATATAGATTAAATGCAAAGGTTGAAAGATGCAATTATCATGCCTTCCACTCTTACGTGAATTTATGTTGGTTCATTAGTAGAATAATCAAGTTTTAAAGATAAAGGTTAAAAGTTCCTGTGGTATTTTATGGGCTTTTAAAACCATAAATGTAAACAAATATCTTACAACGTTTTATAAAGAGTAAAAAAAAAATTGTAATAGTTTAGATCTCAACTACTAAATGTTAAGGGTATTGAATTTTAGCGTCCGACGAAACCCAAGCAAACTGTATTTTGTAACAGGCATGAACTTCCCTTGGGCAACACAAGAAGTGTATGCCTTTAGGTTACACTCAACAACCAACTTGCTCGTACGATAAAATTAATCCTTTCTTATACTGTGTTTCAGACTCCAATATCTGATTTACAGTGCGATCACTGTGTCCAAACTGGAAGGTTAAATCCTGGCATGTAAAATGCACATAGTCCCCTGCTCGATCGCAAAATCTTATCTGGTAGCTCCAGTTTCTACTTCCATCATGAGCTCCTAGGAGCACCACCCTTAGGTGACACGGGGCACTACCCTTAGGTGACACGGTTGTTGACAGGCTTCCTAGCTGGAAGAGTTACGGCCGCAGCAGTAGCCATCTCCCTCCTTCCGGGCTTTTTGCCTCCGTTCGACCTCCTTCTGCTCTTCCAAAGTGATCTCCAGCCTTCTGGCAACTTCCTGCGAATAAGAGGCAGGGAACAAAATGCACCTTTGCTTCCGTCAGAGTGGTAGGCGTCAGCACACCCACTCTTAGGGAGGTTTTCACACCCACTAATGATTATTTTATGTGTGTAAGCGTGTGGTGTGTGTAATAACATTATATACATATAGAAATACATATGCCCACAAATGCATGTGCAGACACGCATACTCACACATATTACAAAGGAACTCAGGTTTTTGAAAAACTGGTTTAGAAATGAAGAATCGGTATGAATGTGAAACTGTCCAAAAAGAACAGTAAGTTTGCAAAGCGGTCTGTCCAGGTTATTTGACTTGCTTAGCTTTTCAGGGGACCATACCGCCAATCCAATAAATACTTCATCTTCTCTAAATTGTTCTTTTGGGCCTTGAGTAATATTATTTAGGCTTCCGAGTGTTTTAAGCCCACTTTTGCTAGAATTATCTATTTCTGTGGTAAGTTTTCTTTGACAAAGAATTGTCTGATTAACTCTTTTATATATGTAAACATACCTTTGGACCCAAAATATTTTATGTTTAACTTTAATATTTGCACTACTTTTCATTTTATGAAAGGCACCTTAAGACCATACCCTACACATATTTTATTACTAGATTTGTTTTTTCAGATTCTTTTATCTATAAGACAGTGGTCTTCATCATGAAACATTAGTAAACTCTCATTTTTTTCAGATACCTGTCTTTACTTTTAAGTTATGAAATATTGCAAGAAAACTAGTAAATAGTCAAGGCAGTTTACAGAAATTTTCCATTTGTATCTCATTAATTAAACAAATTGTTTTATTTGCTTTGTATCTTTATTCGCTTCCTGAATAGATGTATGTTCTGTTCATTCATAAAGGAGGGAATATTTGATTTTTAGTATTTTTTTGCTACAAAATCATACTGTTTGGCTGTGACAACATGTATTTTTGTATGAGGAAGCACAGATAATATATACAAACATACCTTTGGCATTTTTAACTTTGTTCCATGCTTGTGGATATGGGCGCTTTGTTAACTCATTTGCAAAATACTTGTTTTCCACAAAATATTTAGAGTTTTTATACGTTTCCCTTTCTGAGGATTATTTTTGGTGTTTCCTTTCTATTCCTTCATCTCCAGAAACTGAATTTCTCAAAGAATATTACTTTCTCTGTTTTATATTTCTATATTCTTTATATATTTAGAATACCAGTGGAAGGCCCTAACTAGTACATGCACACAAAGCCAGAGTTAGCACTTTTGGGCAATATGGTTCCCTAGAACTTCTCCGACACCGTTCAAGTGAGGTAACCATGCTTTCAGATTCCCGTCATCTTACTGAGGCACGTGGATGAAATCTATGAGGCAGGTTTGTATGGCCATATTTTGTGCGTCATCACCCTGCTTGTGTTCCTAAGCTACAGAATCTTAAAATTTAAAAAGAAAGGCTAGAGACATCTTGACCCCCCCCCCCCCCCCCCGTTGTAGGCAGAATACTACTCTGAGCCATAGTCCCTAGATTTCCCAAGCTTTTTACCCCTTCCTCTTTTATACCAAATGAATATGTGTAAGTGAACTTTTTCATGTGTCGTTTAGAATACTTAGAAATCATTGCCTCTGGAAAACTTCTTTTTAAAAATTTTTTTTTTCTTCAACGTTTTTATTTATTTTTGGGACAGAGAGAGACAGAGCATGAACGGGGGAGGGGCAGAGAGAGAGGGAGACACAGAATCGGAAACAGGCTCCAGGCTCCGAGCCACCAGCCCAGAGCCCGACGCGGGGCTCGAACTCACGGACCGCGAGATCGTGACCTGGCTGAAGTCGGACGCTTAACCGACTGTGCCACCCAGGCGCCCCTGGAAAACTTCTTTACTGACAGTCAGGTTACAGATGACTCATCTCTAAAGAATTCTTTTTGACCTTTAATTTTTTGTCATTATGTAAATGAACATTTATTTTGTGTAACCTTTTGAAGAGGGAGGGCTGTATACATTATAGAGGCAACAGGTATGTTTAAATGTACATATTCATTATGCCTAAGTGGTTCGCAGAGAACTTCAAGTCTCCCTGACGGGAACGTGAACTTTATTTTTAAAAGTACTCTGCTCTGTCTTGTAGGCTTGGTGGCCATATTTTCTAAGCCAACATCAGTATGAGTTTAATGACATGATTTTAATTAAACATAAGCATCATGTAGGAATATTTGAAATTAAAATGATTCTGGACAATTCACTTGTCATAGTTAAAGGCAGTAATTCTGAAAGTGTTTTTAATACCAGGAGTCTGAAGGTTCAGGTTCTGAGTTTGTTCACAGATCTTAAAATAAGTAAGCAAAATGGAGAAATGTTTTAGTATATTTGAGTGTCCATATTATCTTTTTTGGACTGTGATCATAAATTCCTGAGGACAGGGGTGCGATCACATTCATTTCTGCATCCCTAGGTGCCTACCACATTGCCCGGCTCATAACTGATGCACATTAAAGAAATTCTTAGGCTTCCATAACTTACGTTTAATTTACATTGCACGTAAAATATCACTTCTTGATCACATCTCTTATATATGGTATGGAAATTTTGTTGAGACAAATACTGTGAAGTATTTTGTTGCTTTGTGGAAACAACAACTGGTCTGCAGGTAATCAGAAAATATGTGTTGGGAACCAGATCGCACTCTGAGACCATGCGACCTTCAGAAAGTCATTTAAATGTTCTTCAGTTCTCCTTTTGTAAAGAAATAAATGAACGAATTAATAACTTAATTTTCCTAATGTTGAAATTTAATAATATATACCTAGTTTATACTTTCTGAAGTATCTTTGCACTTTCTACACTTTAAAGAAATACACATAGGACAACAGAAGCTTTTCAAATGTAAACTATAAACTGAGAAAATGTTACTTTACCAACTACCATTATAGCGTATCTTCCAAAATTATGAAACAAAAACAAGAACACAGCACTCAGGTAGGAAAACTCAAATGACTGTAATAAATGATTCCTTTTTATTACATTTTTTTTTTTTAAATCAATGTCTAGTGAGTTTCTTTCCTTCTGGGGAAGAAATGACTGAATTTGTTTTTTTCCTTTCTGCTTGCAGCATCCTACCCAGTAGATAATAGTGTTGTACTGACCTGTGTGAGTAAATTAGATAAGTAAATTAAAATTCTAGGGAAGTGAATAGAAACTTCATACAAAAACTCATACAAGGCACCCTGCTGTTCATAACATACCAACACTAGAGACATACTCTGTGCCAGGCTGCCAGGCTTGGTAATCTGTCTTGTTCTGTAGCAATTATAAATTTTACATCTGACCAGTTAATGGGACTATTTGAATTCCCCGAAGAGGTGTTTGTCTGCAAAATGGCAGTCAATACAGGGAAAAAGAGTACTTTTTACGTGCGCTTGACTGTTTGAGGAATGGACGTGGTCCGAGGTCATAAACTACATCCAGCTATTTATTTACGTTTCTGAGAGTTTTCAAGGTCTGGTTACGGCAGCCTTTGACTTCCAACAGTTTAGCCTCTTACAAGGTTTGATGAGTATCTAAGTATTTCTGTCCATTGTATCTGTAGGGTCTTGTAGACATTCTGGTAAATGATATGGTTTCTCTGTGTTTACCCTGTCTTCTTTACACTAGCTCCAGTGGCTGTTGGACAATTACGAGACCGCAGAAGGAGTGAGCCTTCCTAGAAGCACGCTGTATAACCACTACCTACGACACTGTCAGGAACACAAACTGGACCCAGTCAATGCTGCTTCTTTTGGAAAACTAATAAGGTCAATTTTTATGGGGCTCCGAACCAGGAGATTGGGAACTAGGTTAGTACGAAAAAATAAGATCCTAAACGAATTCCTCTTTTTCACACTAACGCAGTTCGGGACAGTGCGTGAGCAGAAGTGCTTGATTACAGATGACATATAAAGAAAAAATGAGGAAATAGCTCAGTTTATACAGTCTCTTGAGAAAAGGAAAGGTCGTTATTCAGTGAATGCTGCAAAAGGGGACGATGCATTGTCTTACACATCAGCTGACCAAAGCTTTGAGAACTGATTCTCTCACGTCATACAGAAATCAGCAAGCCAAACTGTTAACGTAAGATTTACACACGGTGCCTTAAAAATTAACGTATCTCCCTGTTTTCTCTTTTGAAAAATAATCATACCAGAAGTGATGAGTAAGTGACATAGTAAATGGAAAACTATGTTATTTCTTGACTCTTGCAAAATTATACTGAAATGTCTTTATAAATAACTTCTATTTGAATAGAGTATGAAATTAAAGCTGAGTTTTTCATTTCATTTTTGGAGATCAACGAAAAATCATTTGTTGAACTTGAAAAGCTGGGGTGTTGGAAGCCCTCGGTAATGACATGGTTCTGTTTAACCTCTTATTAGCCTTCTTTAGAATCTTGGCTACGCAACCATACGTGTATAGAAGCAAAAAGATAGCGTGCTTCCGTAGCATGGAAACCAGTAACGTGAAGAAGATTCTTGGCTTCTCGTTTCCTTCCTTTGGAAAGAGAAAGGAGTGTTTTTCCTAATCAAAATATGATGAAAATAATAGTTGGAACTGTAGAGATTCATTTTTGTGCCTTTCTATAGTTTTTACAAATTATCATAACATGAATATTTTGAGAAGCTGGGCAGAAGGATATGGATGTTTTTTATTTCCTAAAGCTTATAGAAATCCCTAATAAAAAGTATAAAAATAAAGATACCACACCATATAACGTTGGACGTTCTTCCTTTAATTGGTTTTAAGTCACAGCTTCATAGTATTCTAGTAAAGACTATTTAATAAAGAGACCCTTACTAATTGACTTCATTGTAGGCTTATGCTAAGAAAAAGGGAGTGTCAGTTTTATGTCATTTACAAGGTCTCTAAGTATCCTGAGCGTGAGTTATTCCATTCCCGTTGTGTTTCAAGTGACCGTCCAGCTTTCAGATTGCTAGAGGTTCAGCTCTCTCATAAATATGTTTTCTTCTACCTATACTTGAAAAGATAGTATATTTTAAACGGGAGAATATGATTGTCTTTTCAGGCTAAAGGAAGTAAAGCTTTCAGTCCCTTGAAAAAAGCTCTTTGTTTCTCTCCTGTTTCTTTTGCCAGAACCACAAAAATCATTATTTGGGGATCTAACCTCTTATCCGCTAGCGGAAGGCTCAGGCTCAGTAGTTACGCATACCATGCCAATATTTTGAGACTCTGGGCTTTATTCAACATTCTAATAGCGGTATTGTTGTGCTCCTTTTGTTGTCGAAAGGGATTTCAATGGGTCCTATTTTGAGGCTCCATTCAGACCTTGAAACACATCTTTAAAATAGAAAGGACCAAAATTGGGGTTGTTTGGGTTTGTGAATGAGTAGAATCTATACTCCACAAGTACATTTCGCAACATCACAGCTTTTACTTTCTGATGTTCTTTTTTGCCCTCTCACTAAGTAACAATTGTGTCTCCCGTTCCTTTTAAAATTATATGTGGTATTTTCAAAGAGAGATGGAAAGTAAAGCCTTAGAGAAGTGAGGAGAGAAGAAATCCGATGGGGAAAGTTTAAACAAATACTGTGTTATGAAGGCAGCAGAACTCTAAGGTAGAAACACTGCCGATGGTGAGGGAGATCCTTTCTACCACGGAAAGTGGTTTAGCACTCATTTACTCCTCCTAACCCAGGGAACAGAAAGAAAGTGAGTATAAATCATGAGGCAGAACTGGGCCATTTCTTGAGGTTTTAGAGCTAGGTGAAAACCAAGTTTCTAAAGAAAGGCAAATCAAAAGGTGTCTTTTGTTCAGACCCATCTGCAAATTAAGTTTAAGCAAAGAAGACCGTGAGACGTGCTGATCTCCCCCAACCGGCTCCCCACCAACCCAACAAAAATGCTCGTTTGCAGGAAACATGGAAGAAACTAGACACTTCATCTGTTTCCGTCTACAAGGGAGACCCCGTTTTACTCTGTAGCTGTCATTGGCTACATCCCCTGGGGACTGTCGCCTGCTTCCCCTTCTTCTCCCCACTCTACTACTACCCCTACTCCAGTTTGTGAGGGAGAACACTACTAATTGAGTTTTTGTTTTCGTGTTTTTGCTCTATTTTGCAGTGACTTTTGGAGACAAGATCTATCTCTGCAAGTGGAACGCATTTAAGTTTCCATACTGTTACATACTTTGCCGAAACTATATAGATATTCAGACGCCCTACTTTTTTTTAAAACTAGCAATATTATTTATGTAATAAGATTGTAATGCTTTTGAATATATAGGCTTCATTTAATCTATGTTCTTTAATCTTGGAAGTAAAATTCTGTTCTATTTTTATATAAAATATTTAATCCACACTTTTGCATTTCTTTTTTGTAAATGAAAGAAAAAAATGGAAAAGCAGCTGATGTCTTGCTATATATAGACTTGTGAAAAGCTATTTTCCCTTTGCAAAAATTTACATATTTAAGATGTTATTTTTGCGAGAATTTGCAAATTTCATTCAGAGCAAAACTTTGTCATGTCTAATAACAAACACGGTCTTTCTCATGAAGATGGGGAAATTGTGACAGTTTTTATCCAGGTGGAAATTTGCCATTTTCACAGAGAAACTTCCCCATGTCTGTTGTGACACATCGTATTCAGCCTGCAAACTGATAAGAATTCGTTAAAACAGAGGCTAATAAAATATGTTTCAAAACCAATGGATTCAATGCCCGCCTCCTTTTAGGTTTCAGAATAACACATGATAGACTTTACCACAACATTCTGTATCAGTCAGGTTACCTCCCCCATCCTGCAGTAATAGACGTCGCAAAGATGTAGACCTGACTTACCCAAGACCACAGAATTAGATTCCTTTTCTTCCTTTTGTGTAACTACTTTATAGTAAATTCCCCTCTAGTGTATAGCCCTTTATCCTCTTAATGGATTTTTCTCGGCCAGGTGTGTTTTCCACCTCTACCCCTTCTAAATGAAATCTAAAACGCAAATTTGAAACTCAAAGTGTAACTTCAATGGAATAAGTGAGCTATTGTACTGGTATCTAAGTTTATAAGGAGAGAGTTTTCCCAGGGCCCTGCGCTGATCGATTCGAAATCTTATTTTGATTCTTTAGTGGTAGCCACCATAAAAATGGACAGGTATGATGTGGAACAGGCAGATCGTAAGTCTGTGACGCGAATATGCTGCTTTCACCTAATCTCTCCAGATGTGAAGTGAGGTAGACGTCCTGTCTGATTGATACTGGCTTAACTGACTTTTTGTGTCTCTAATGTTTGTTGTTCTTTTATGAAGAGGAAACTCCAAGTACCATTACTATGGGATCCGTGTCAAGCCAGATTCCCCTCTTAATCGTCTGCAAGAAGACATGCAGTATATGGCTATGAGACAGCAACCCATGCAACAGAAACAAAGGTAGACTCCGGAATTATCGCTGACCTGTCAAAGCCACATATTTCTTTAGATGTTCAGTCTCCTTTTTCCCCTGAGCAAATAGAGCAGATACCGAAGCGTACGCGAATGTGACTGTGGCCGGCCTGCTTTTTACACATGGACCGTTCTCAGATATGATTTAGTAGGATTGCATTCACCCTGTCGGTTTTCCAAATCTTTCGCGATTCCTTATTTAATTTTGGCCTGTTTGGCCCCTTTTTAAGTTTCACTGTGACCTCCCAAACTATTCGGCCAATGACACCAAACCCAAAACGTAAGGAGTGAACCCAAGCAAACGCCACCTGGAGAAACTTGTTTCAGTGTTGGTGAGTTCCTCGCTTGCAGTCTTGCACCTCCCTCAGTCGTTCTTTTTGACATAACACGGGTGGTGGCAAACTGTTTAGGACTTCTTGCATTTTCTTTGAATCCAGCTTTCATAGGTGGAGAATTGTAGATATTAGAGCTGTGAGAGATCTCCAGCATTCATGGACGGATGGATGGATGGGTGGATGGATGGATGGATGGATGGATGGACGGACGGATGGGTGGGTGGGTGGATGGATGGGTGGGTGGGATCATAGAGCTTAGAACTGAAAAAAATACCTCTGTCTTGTCTGGCCCCTCAGCCCTGTGACAATCAAAGCCTTCATAGCTCTGTTTTTCACTTCAGTCCCAGAGAGGCTAAATGATTTGCACAAGCTCATAATACTGTTATATAGCCAGGGGCCTTCTAGTCTCATGTGGCTTATATCACAGTTTAGAGTAAATAATAGAAAAATCTCTCCCTTTTTACCAGTATAGCTCAGCCATAATAATGGTTATAATTTTTCTTTTAAAAAACTTCTTTAATGAAAAGCGTTCATTTATTTTTGAGAGACCGAGAGAAATAGAGCATGAGCTGTCAGCACAGAGCCCGACATGGGGCTTGAACCCACAAACCGTGAGATCATGACCTAAGCCATAGTCGGACGCTTAACCGACTGAGCCAACCAGGTGTCTCATAATTTTTCTTTTCAGTTGAACATGCAGAGTTAGGTAGGAGAAAGGAGGGCTGAACACAAGAGAGTCGGATGATCTGCCTCACTTTACTCGTTTTATTGATCTGGGATGGTTGGCCAGATCTCCTTCACATCCATACTAGCTTAGTCGGAAGCATTGGCTCCAAGTCACTGCCAGAGAAACAATATATCCTGCGATGGTCCGTCCTTTGTTTAGTCTGCAAGCACTGATTACGTCTCTGCTACCTGCTAGACCCCATGGGCCCAGAGAAGACGCAGTCTCTAACTTTGAGGAATTCAGAAATTAGAAGGAAAGGCACACGAAACTTTTTTCTTAAGTAACGCAGTGTGTGATGTGCTGAAGTAAAGCTTTGATCCAGGAACTGTTGAAATACAGAGGAATTTTAAGCAAACCCTGAGAGAGGAGGATTGAGAAGTGTCATAGAGGAAGTGCGGTTTGACAAGGACGCGGGTAAACAGGGGTACAGTCCAGGATGTCCTTGGTAAGGACGGTGTGATTTGGGGAGGCTGGCATGGCAGGGGCAGAACCGAGAAGAAGATTGGCTCAGCGGGAGAGGAGATTTAAAACATACTTTGGGTCATGGCTTAGGGGCCTTGGTTGTATACGAAGCTAGCAAGTTTGTTCTCTGTGCGCTTGGAAGCCGTGTACGGCTTTGGAGCAGAACGGTGAAACCTTTAGAGTTTTTTTCTGGAGAGATAACTTTTTTATTTTGGGTAAGACATTTAATGGGAGCGGGCTGGAGGTAAAGATGCCTGTTGAATAGTTTAACACCATCATAATTTCCGGTGCGAGTGTCCCAGACTGAAGAGTCAGTTCAAGATTGGCTGCTAAGTCAAGGTTATCTCCAGGTTTTTAGCTTTTTAATTCACGGTTTCTCGACCTTTTTTTTTTTTTTTCAAGTTGCTGATTTCTGGTTTTTGGGGTGTATAGCCCAGGAGATACATTAAAGGGGCTCAGAAAAATACAGTAAAATAAATCACAGAACAGTCCCTTATATGGAGATGGAGTTTGTGTGGATTGTAATAAATTGCTGTTGTACATCGTGCACAGTGGAGCTGATGGGGAGGTTGAAACCAAAAAAAGAGAAGTTTGATTCAAAACTAACATATATTCCAACTTAAATGTGGACAACCACTTGATAAGTTGCACTCGAGACAGCGGATTTAACCTGCAGGGAATCCCAGCAAGTTCTCACGGAAATGGTAGCCTTCGAGGGACATTCTTTGTAAAAAAAAAAAAAAGCCTGGGTTAGGGAAGCAAGTCCTAGAACTCAGAAAGGTCTCCTTCTGAAATGGATTCCAAAGCTCTAAAGGTTAATAAGCCATGAAAACCCTGCCATCTCAGTCTAATTGTAGTTGCTTTTAGAATAAGACATAATGTGGATGTATTGATAAAATTCTCAGTGATATTCATAAATTGTACCAACTTTAGTTTCCTGTGGTGTTCGCTCTCTTGTGACATAAGGATGTTAGAGGAGCAAAGAAACACCGCTGACCCTTGAGCAACTTGGGGGTTGGGGGCACTGACCCCCACCCGGTCCAAAACCTGGGTATGACTTCTGACTCCCGGAAAAACTTAACTGATAGCCTACTATTGACCGGAAGCCGTTACCGATCACGGTCAGTTAATGCATATTTTGTTTGTTATATGTATGATATTGTGTATACTTACAGTAAAGTGGCAGAAAGAAGAAAATGTTATTAAGAAACTCATAAGGAAAATACATTTACAGTACTGAGTTTATCGAAAAAAGTTTGCATGTACGTGGATCTGCGCATTTCAAATCCGTGTTAAGGGCACACTGTGCCGACATTTCTTTGTTTGTTTTTAATGACACAAGTTGTGGCTTGTGGACGGGGGGCTCTTGTGATGGTGTCTTGCTAACTGATTGCGGTTAGTGTGATCAACCTCAACAGCCCCCTCGTGGGGACCAGCAGGACAGAGGGAGGCTTCTGTTCTCTCTCTGAAGGATCCTACCAACTGGCCGCATTCATAGGCTTTAACTGAAGCCACCTACTCCATTGTGTAGAAGCCACTGAGGCAGTCTTTCTCGCCCCAAGTCTGGATGTAGGGGTTAAGAGTATTTGTTGAAAGACCGTGGAAAAAGAAAGTATTGTGTAGCATTCATTTTGCGGCTTATAAAACTCAAATGATTCTATCGAAGATACTAAATTGTACGTGAGAAGAGCCTGCCATTCTTGTTAAAATTCAAGTGACATGTGAAAGGTTTCAGATATTTTATAGCAGCTCTTGTGTTTGATATTTTAGAATATTCAAATGGTTTAAACGCCTCAAGCGTTAGTACATGCATCGAAAGACGCACATCTTCCGTAGTATAAATTTACATGTCTTCTGTGTTCATAGGGGATGAAAATTCAAGCGTACGCAGTGATCATTTTATCAGCGAGGAGTGAAGTTTTTGTACACTTTTCTCTTAAGGCTGGAATCATAGTAGTTGTAGAAGTACTAATGATTATTGTTCTGTGTAACTTTATAATTTTTAGAACCTCTTTACATATGGTGTCTCATTTGAAGATTTGCTGGGGTAGTAGGGGAAATTTTCACTTGTCTCCAAATCCGATTCCCAGCAACACCACCATATGGAACATAGCCATGAGTCTGGAAATAAATGGAAACAGCTTCTGATTGGAAAAAAAAAAACAGATGTCACAGAACCCATAGTTGAGCTTAATTGAAAAGAGGAAGCCATCGTCAAGCCATGTCCTTAAAGGAGCAGATTAGAGCCCCCTTGATTCCGAGGCATTCATGAGGTATAACAGCTGGCAAGAGGAAATAGAAGTGACGAGGTGACAAGGGTCTTCTGTTTACTCTTGGGCTATCCAACAGGACAACGTGTGCACATTCAGTGGAGGGCCAAGGAGACCTAGGTAGTCCAGAAGCCCTTCGAGTATCATCAGTCGAGGGACTAGAATCTAGTCTTAACACAGTGTAATGCCTTTGGCATATTGGTGACCTTCTAGGTAATCGAGAAGAGCTGAAGTGTCCTGGTCAAGAAAGCAAGAGAATGTGTACTAGCTTCTTTTAATATCTTCGGTTGAAAATATTTCTTTTTTTTTTTAATTTTTTTTTTCAACGTTTATTTATTTTTTGGGACAGAGAGAGACAGAGCATGAACGGGGGAGGGGCAGAGAGAGAGGGAGACACAGAATCGGAAACAGGCTCCAGGCTCTGAGCCATCAGCCCAGAGCCCGACGCGGGGCTCGAACTCACGGACCGCGAGATCGTGACCTGGCTGAAGTCGGATGCTTAACTGACTGCGCCACCCAGGCGCCCCCGGTTGAAAATATTTCTTACGAAAATAACTTCTGCACTTAAATGTAATCTTCCATTTTTCAAGGCAATTTACTCATGGATAATTGGCCTGCCCTCATTCAGATAATAAATAAGTTAGGTTATCATAGAGCCCAAAGATCAGTAATCTTCAGCTGTGCACACCAGGTAAAAATGCTTGCTGCAGTTTATTTTTAATATTTCAGAGACGTACCTAAAGAGCATAAGGTTGGCATACCTATCTTAGTTATGTTTCCAAATCCTTGTAGCAGAAGTGGTGGGACAGAGAGCCCAGTGCTGTTGACCGTGGGCTGGGCGGGGTTTGATCTCAGTTTGATCTGTTCTCAAACTATTAAAGCGCATTAATCATTCCTCCAGCAAACACGTAGCAACCAGCAGCTGCGTAGAGAATATGTCCATCACCTCCAACAGAGATACCACAGAATCATAGAGTGTTCAGCTGGAAGGAAGAGGTCACCCAGTCCAACTCATCCTCTTAATGAGAAAACTGAAGCCCGTACAGGTTAAATAACCTGCCCACAATCATGTAGCAACCAGGGCAGGAACCTAGTCTGCTTGTCCTTCTAAGAATG